ACGACCACCCTTCACCTATATACCCTAAACCCTACACCCGAAAACCCTAAACCCTACACCCGAAAACCCTAAACCCTACACCCGAAAACCCTAAACCCTACACCCGAAAACCCTATATAAACCCTATATATTATAAGCCCTACATGCTTTTCCCCTCCGAAGCTCTCAACAGCTTCGACCACGCCAAAACCAACATGAGCTCAGCCAAGCGCCCCTGTGACATGCCAACACAGACCCAGCCCGAACAGCCAGCCTGTATAAATACATACATACACACGTACACACATACATAATTATACATACATACATACGTACATACATACATAATTATACATATATATATATATATATATATATACATACATGCATATATTGTCTGTATGTATGTATGTATGTATGTCTCTGTGTGCATGCATGCTTGTATACAAACATGCATGCACACAGAGACATACATACATACAGACATACACGACTCATATAGACTGTGCTATACACTGTGTCGTTCAACAATGCATACACTATACGGCTAAGCCCTTGAGAAGCTTACCCCGAGCCCACATGCTGCCAAAGCCCAACAGCCCCGGCTGCAGGACACAGTCGTTGTCATCCAGGATGACGATGATCAGGTCCTGACGACCCCTCCTACCAAGCGATGTCTCCACTCGGCGATGATGGATGCGAAGGTCGTGGTCGGTTGTGTGGTTGGCTATGTAGATCGTATTGGAACTAACTTTGCTATACCTGCATGCAGGAAAGAAGGCCACGCCATACGGATACGCAGGAGACAATTCCGTATGATGCCGACATGCTGGACCGTTCTGCAAGCCCCGGCCCACGTCCTCCGCCGTCGGAGTTGGCCGTCGGCTCCAGCTTCCTTTCGGAGATGAGCCCGGGGGATAGCCAAGCTTCTTTGGAGCCAGTAGCCCGCCCCACTAAGAAGGCATGCTCTGCATTCAAAAGCCAGCCGTGTAAGGATGAGCCTAAAGTTGTTGCTTGCCCTGTGCCAAAGTCCTTGACCCTTCAGCCTGCCAAGAAAGAGCCTCCAGCTGTTCCAAAGCCCTCCCGAAAAAGGGCGGTGGATGCACCGGCAAGTCAGGTGGTTGCCAAGGCAGGCAGCTGCAAACTCCAGGAGGTTTTGCAGACCCCAAGCCCTAAGATGGCCCAGCCGGTGCTCCACACGCCGAGCCCACCTCCGGCTAAGCTGCAGCAGAAGATCAAAGGTGAAGCGTGCACCGCGAGCAAAGCAAAGGTAGAAAGTGCCCCGGAGCTTCCAGCCGAAGTGGCGGCTGCAGGCGATGACGAAACACCCCACGAATGGATTCCCTTGAGTGAAATGCAGGGGCACTACGATTTCAAGGAAGCAGTCCAAGTGATGGAGCAGGTGCAGGAGCTCATGCAAAAGGGCCACTACAAAATTGCAGATGAAGGACGGATGTTTTTCTGGGTGCCCACCTCGACGCTGAAGGAGCTGAAGGAGCTTGCCTCGAAAAAGCCGACGAAGACCGAGCCGGCAACCGATGCTGCGTCTGCTTCCCCCACCAAAGCTTGCCCCGTCCCCGCCACGTCGGCCCAGGCGCCGGCGCAGGGACACCAGGTTTTGCCTAAAGCAGCTCCGTGCACGCACACCGCAACGGTCCCGCCCAGCAAGCCCGCAGCGATCAAGCCGACATGTGCACCAGCCCGCTCCGCTCCTGTTCCGATCCCAGCCTCTGTTGTTGATCTGCCAAAGCCCTTGCCCAAAGCAGGCTCGCAACAGCCAAAAATCGAGAACACAACAGTGGAGACCCCAGAAGCCAATACCAAAGCCGTTGGAGTTTCTGAGGCCCCGAAAGCCCGGCCGACATCCCTCCCAGTTTCTGTTGCCGATGACACAGTTTCGGTGGAGTCCCCGAAAGCCGAAACCCCCAACCCAGATGAGCCCCCGAAAGCCGAAACCCCCAAACCAGATGAAGCCGAGACCCCCAAGACAGGTGGAGTTTCTGTGGAGGCCCCGAACGCCGAGACACCCAAGGCAGGTGGAGTTCCGAAAGCCACGGAGGCCCCGAAAGCAGCCCAAGCGGTGCCCCCCAAACAGGGTACGCATTTCTTTGCTGATGCAAGTGCCCCGCCAGCTGTGGTATCCGTGCACGCCGATGCACCCACCGCCTCAGCCCCTGGCCCTGCAGTTTCTGCAGACCCTGCACCCCCTGCGACAGCCAAAGCAGCCCCAGCTTCTGGTGTTTCTGAAAGTGTGGCAGCCCTGCCAGCGCCAGCCAAATCCGATGCACTTGACTTGGGGAGTGTGACCATTCAGGTGAACCCAAAGGCCTGTGTAGTCTGCATCGCACACATACACACCACATTTTCCTCTTAAAGTCCTGGTTATCCGTTTGTGCATGGGAGGCTGAAGCTTTGGTGCCAAAAGGCTACACCGACCGGCAGCGGCTTTTTGCTACCTTCAAGAGGTGGGGGTGGGGCTAGTAGTTTATAATTTATAACTTAACGCACTGCCTACCTCAACATCCCAAGCCCTATAAGCCCCACAGCCCGAAACTTCGATAAACCAGAGATCCTTATACTGTATAACACAACAGACATCTGAGTGATCTGCACCTGCAAGGAACATCACAAGCGAGGGACTGAAGGCGGTGCCACAGGAGCTGAAGGACGCATGGGCTCAGGCTGTTCAGAGCAAGTCGAAGGCTAGCAAGACGAATCTGTTTAACAAATGGTTGGCAGCCGGAGGCGACTGGTCAAAGTGGCTTGCATCCATTATGTGAACACACTCAAAGCCATCTTATAAACCGTTCCCTCCCTTCATTTGCTTGCCAGGTTGAATGTCTCCTTCTCGCGATCCAAGATCGAAACGGAGACTGGCAAGAGGAAGATGGGCTCCTTGGCTGATCAAACCATTGTCCCCGGCCCTGGAATCCTAAACCGCTCATGTGTAATATACTTACGTGTTTGTGGGTCGGTTCAATGAATCGAACTCAAACAAACTATATAGTGTATAAATATGTATGTATGTGTATATATATATATATATATGTGTATGTGTGTATGTATGTATGTATGTATGTATGTACGTATGTAATGTAATGCATGTAATGTAATGTAATACATAATGTAATGTAGGTATGTAGGTAGGTATGTATGTATGTATGTATGTATGTATGTATATGTGCGTATGTATGTATGCATGCATGTACATATGTGTATAAGCATAGTAAGTAAGTATGTATGTATGTATGCATGCATGGATGTATGTATGTATGTATGTGTGTATGTGGTATGTATACGCATGCATGTAGGTACAGGTATCATGTAAAGGTATGTCTAACTTTGTGCGGCCCTGCCCTTTGTGCCAGACAAACCCGCAACCCTGGGACCAGCTCATAGAAGCCCGAACCCACCGTTGCCGTGATGCACACACACACACACGCACACACGCGCACACACACACACACGATCCCCATATCTTCGAAGGTTGGCGCACGAAGCACCAGCTGAAGCTGATGTACGGCGACGACGACGTCGTCAGCAGTATCATCGAGGCGAAGGTGCAGTCCGGACATTGGAGGGAGCACCCGGACTTGCCGGGAGACTCGCACATGTTGTTGTACTACGTGGCGGGCTTGGAAAGGCGGTGGTTGCTTTTCATACTGGCTGCCCCTTGTTGCTTCCGTGGATGCTAACCAACCTTCCTAGGTGATGCTGGATCTCAGCCACACCTCGCAAGAGCAGCAACGGGATGAGATGAAGTACAAGTTTGATGCTGATATCGATCCCTCCGCAGAGGCAATCCGGTTCCTTAAGTCATGGCCCCACCCTTCAAAAATCCTCATGAATCCTAGTGCCCCGGTCTCACGCAGGTGGCAGATATCTTTGCTGGTGCTTCTGAGATGTCTGCTGCGAGCTCTTCCTGGCAGCCAATGATTAAGCTTCCCAGCAACGGCAGTGTAGCATCTGTTGAGGATGCCCCGGCCAAGGGTAAAGGCAAGAACAAGGGCAAAAAAGAAAAGCAGGGGCAGCTTGTTCGCATCTGGCTTTTGAGATTGCATTGGTCAAGCGAGCATCAAGAGCTAGGTTCCATTGTTCGCATCATGCATGCATACCCCATCATCAGGACCACAATGCCTACGGATGTTTGGGAGGCCGCCAAGTTCATCCGACCTCGCTTGCTCTCGAAGCTGGGTGATGCAAAGCTTTGGCCCGTTAAGCTGAGCGCCTACAAGCACCAAGACTCCCTGAGACCCTTGGACATGTTGATGTGTGTACTTCTGTATGTGTTTCTCTCTCTCAAGGGGGATGCGAACTCCTCTGCCAAGGCAATGTTATGCAAACTCACGCTGTGGAACTCGAAGCTTCCTACGGCCAGCTTGGACAGATGCTGAAGGACCTCGTTTTGCGAGTATAAGTATAAGCCCTTAAGACCGGAACAACTTCTATATAGCCCCCAACCTTCGATCAATGATTATAAACCTCAGATACAATCCCGTGAGACCCTCCCGCTATCGTTCAATGTTGTTAAGAAACGACTATGCCAGGTGTTATAGGTTATAGGGGATCAATATGTTTGTAAACCTGCGGGATTAGGGCCTGCTCTGTTGATGCATGGACACCGAAACAGCTCTTGGCCGTTATTGTAGCTACTGATCATGCATAGATTACAACATAAGTTACTAGACTTATAGAAACATAAAACCCCGAATAGCCCAAACTTACTGTAGCAGCTGTTTGGCTACTACGGCTTATATATGGACATGCAAAAACCCAAAATCACCCGAGCCGTTTGCACGTATGCCCTTAATTGCACACCCCACTACCCTTATAATCCTATAAAGCCCTCGTGCAGCCAGGCCCGCGAGGTTGTGCCCGACGACCAGATCGACGCCGCCAACCGCCTGGCCGTGCACAGGATGGAGCTGTATGACGAGGATCATTTCACGCCCACCAATGTGACTAAGCAGAAGAAGGAGAAGACTGAGAAGACCGGCAAGGGAAATGCTCTTGAGGACTAAGGTAGATAGTGCCGGTTCCAGGATAGATCCGCAGGGTGGCATTTTGCTACAGCTTATGCTGCTCACAGCAGTAGCATGGCACCGGATGGGGAACCCGTGCTCGCATGCACGGGACAAGTTCCATGGGGTTCACCCGCTTAGCGAAACTATGTGAGCCAGGGAAGCAATGCGAATCTGCGACAAAACAATTGACGGCATGTGCTTGACTTACAGTGTGCTGGTTTCTGCATGATCCATAAAACCGTGTGTGGCAGGTGGCCTACTTCCTGGCAAGCGCCGCAAGGAGAAGAAGATCTAGCGCATATAGAAGCCGTAAACCTTAAATAAAACTGGAGACCCTATAGCCTATACTTTCTAAACCCAAGTCCTAAAAAACATAAGCCCATTATACCACCCTCCCAGGAGCCTCAGCAGCCGGTCGGCCGGAAGAGACCACGCCTCGGTGAGGCGGCTACCCACAACTCAACCCTATGTTCCGAAAACCCTACCCGAATTATTTAGAATACCCATAAACCCTATAACGACCGGAATAAAACGAATATCAAATAACCCAGAACCCTAAAGCCCTACAAATCCCAATGGAAGTTTCAGTACATATACATTGTATGCATGAAAGGAAACATTGGGTGACAAGCTGGTAGAGGATTTCGCTTCTGGCTTGTCTTCAGCAACGCATGTGCCTTTGTTGATCACTACGCTTACCAGCTTTTTTGGCCTATGGCGATCAAACAGATTCAGGGATCTTAATTCATAAGGTTGTATTTATAAGGCTTGGGGCTATTTATTTTATGTTGAAAGAATCTGGTGTGCTGTTTTACCATAAGGCGCGGGACATTGCTGATGCTGCACTTCGCTGGTGCGAGGATTTTGGTGTGGTGGTGCCTAAAGGTGACCTCGTCAGAAAAATTGCGATGTGTGCGACGGCAGGGAAACACACATCCAATTGTGAGCGAGACCTGCACCGTGTGCTGGAGCAATCTAGCACGTCACTCGGTGTTCCGTTACATGACATTCCTGTGCGACTCTGGAGCCACAAGGATGGGAATGAGTACTGGGGCACTTTGCCGGTTATGTGGCCAGATGAACTTGCGGCTGCTATCTACGATCGCGGTCAGGATATTTTCACACACTGTTTTGCACCCTTCGAGCCTGCAGCTTTTTGGGATCATTGTGAAAAGTACTGCAGCTGGTTCGCTTCCCACCCAGCCCGAAATATTAATGACAAGAACAAACTTATTCCTTTGTGCTTCTACGGCGACGAGATCAACGCTTTCAGGAATGTCGAGAACGGTTCGATTTGTGTCTTAGGCTTTGGCAGTGACCTAGCCTCCGGCAATCCTGCGCTTGAACGGTACTTTCTCTTCACCGCCTTTTCCGAACACAATGCTACAAGCAACACTTTCGATGACATCATGAGGGCTTTAATTCCTCGGCTGCAGAAGATGTTCTCAGATCAAAGCTACAACTTTTCTGCTGGGGGATGGAAGTGGACGTATTCTTCCACACAGGGGGACCTGAAGTTCATCAAGGACCGCTACATGTTGCATAACTTTACGAAGAACGCCTTCTGCAGTCTATGCGCCTGCCAGAAGACCGGCGAGGATCTGTCTATGACCTTGGCGGACTTTAGGGAATCTGCTTCCTACCGGGGTACCACCCGAACTCACCGGGACTACATGCAAGCAACTACAGCGGAAAGCCGATACCCAGACCAATATTGGTAATGTTGTGCATGTATATAGGCCCAACACAGCCCTCGCTTGCCCTAGGCCGTTCTATTATAGCCCGTGCAAGCCCGAGCATAGCCCCTATACTTGGCAAAGGTATATCCCAGAATTTCTCCCGTAAACCCAATGGACTACAAAGGCTCCCCCATCTTTGAGCTCGATGGTGTGATGTTGGAAAGATTTCTGTTCGACCCTTGTCATGGACAGTTGCTAGGGACAGGTAAGAACAGCAATGGTTCCTTTGACATTATTAGTTTTACTTTTTTTGTAACATTAATCCAGAGACTGCCGGCATATTTCAGAGATCCGATTGTAGTTATCCACCCGGGCTCGTGACATCCAAGGTTCAGCACTTGCTTATTTGTGCGAGCGCGGCTACTTTGCTGAATGGCCAGCTAGAGGCGAGTACGAAACAGTGATGGGATTTATGCTTCGCAAAGCACATGCAGCATTCCTCAAATGGTGCAAGGCACACAAGCTGCAATGCTCACAGCCGCGATTCACGCCTTCACGCTTATGCAGAAAAGCTCGCTTGACCTATCCAACTTTGGCTTCCAAGGCTGCGCAATCCAAAATACTTTCGTTTTGGTTAGCCTCCGAAACTGCGGATTTCGCTTCGAGGCCAGACGCCACAGCTACTGACAAGACTGTTAGTGCATGCTTGTGGTCCTATGTGGAAATGCTGCGCATGTTTGATCGATACCCTTTGCTGCTCAGCGCTGAACAGGGCAATGATATTTACGCTGCAGGCATGAGACACCTTCGCTTGTACGCGTATTTGCACAGGGAGTCGTCCAGGAGAACGGGAACCGAAGTCATGCGCAACTGCTGGCTTTTGCAGCCAAAGCAGCATTTTTTGTATCACATGTGCCAAGACTGCAAAGAGCAGCGAATTAATCCATCCTTCTTTTCTTTGCTAGCAGCTGAAAGCTGGATAGGATACATAGGCCGAGTATCTCGGCGAACCCACCGCACAACAATGACTAGGAGGACAATCCAAAGGTATTCTACCCTCATGCATTACCGCTTAAGGCGGATCGAGCGCAGGTTGAGGGGTTGACTCGGCTGTAGAACACTCGATGCTGTCATAATGTATAATTATGTCGATAAATATGCCGGCAATCTGGACCCTGAAAATCCCTTTGAGCTGCATGTCCTGCAATCCAAGTCTCCGACATCGCATCGTCGCAGCAAACCCAGTTGCCGCAAAAGTGTCTCTATGGCGGGCTCGGGAAAGGCGCTTTAATTGTGTTAGTTTGCTACGATCTTGAGGGTGCAATCGTTGAGCTCCGTGTTGGCTTGCTTCGTCGGGCGATGTTTCTCTTGTCGAAGTGTGATACGACATTGATCATGCACAGCTTTGATGGTAGTGGCATCAGAAGTCGGTGAAGTGTCCCATCTAGGGCCCTCGCTGCGAGGGGTCCGAAGTTAGGAGTCTATCATGGGCCCTCGAGGGTTTTTGGGTGACGCCCCCAACTCTGTTAACGCACCCAGCTTTGTTGGGACCCTCTGGGAAGACGGCCAGAGCCCCCGCCTCCCTCTGAGGCTGGTGACTCGGAGTGCGCCAACTGCGGGCAAGGCTGGCGGAAGGCAAACGGCTTTATGCCGTACTCCTGCCCGGCCCGGTGCGGCAGGAGCTTGTGCTCCATGGGGTGTGTCCAGAACCACCGCAAGCGTGACTGCACCCGAAAGTCCTACGCCACACCCGCTTTTGCGGAGATCTTTGCGGGGCCCACTGCCCGCCTCACCCGCGCGATGGCCGAGGCTAAGGTGGCGGTCCGGATGCCCTACGACCGGTCCGGCGAGGGCGCCGAGGACTTCTTTACGCAGGAAGGCAAGGCCCTCCTGGCCACCATCGAGACCGACCCCGAGGTGGTGGCGAGGCACTGGTCCCCCGAGGCAAAGTTCTTCTCGACCGAGAGAGGTGGCCACTCTCAGCTTCGGTCAGGGCAGTGGGTCCGGGGACCTTCTCAGGTCCGAGACCAGAGGAACCTTCTGGGACTCCCTTGGATTAAGAGCGACCTCAAGTTTGCCGTTCGGAGGTCCAACCAGACGGCAAGCCGATCCCTCACGAAGCTCGAGGAGACCGCTGATGCTGGTCTCATAGGCTCCCTCATCCATCCGTGGGAAAGTTTCCTTTGGGAACTGGCTGCGGCCAAGAAGCTTCTCGCGGACCGAAGGTTCTTTTTCACCACCTTCAGCTTGTGCTGCTTTGGTGGGGATCACGAGCGCTGGTGGGGACTTCTCCACAACAGCCCCAAGCTACACGAGCGCCTGCACAAGCCGGCTTGCCCAGGGCACCGGGGGCTTCGCAAGGAGGAGGCCTGGTACAGTGGTCCCACGCTCTGCTTCCGGTGTGAAGAGGAAGTGGAGTACCCGTGGGCTTTCGCCACCGCGTACTCCGAGGCCTTGCTGGCGGAGATGGAGGACCGCTTCCCAATGGTGCCGAGGCGTCTCGAAGACTCCACCCTCAAGTGGCAGCTCTACGCGCAGGTCCGGGGGTCCACCAAGGGCCTCCAGAGTGTGGAGGTTGCGAAAAGCGTTGTGGAGGCGATCCTCCCCATCGCCAGTTCCCTCTTGGAGGGAAAAGAGGACCACTACCAGTGGCTCCTGCGAACCGCCCACTACAGAGGGACCGAGGTTCGCCTTGAAGTACCTCTCGAGGGAGGGACCTCCAGACTCGTGCTGTACCCGGCTCACCTGTGGGAGTGGAAGACCGTCGCTTCCTATCCCTTCAGACAGGAAGACTCCATCACGACGTTGGAGCTGACAGCCGCTTTCTGTGAGATAAGGCGCATCTCACGCATGTGCTCGACTCCCAGGCCACTTACTATGTGCTCGCCAAAGGCCGCTCCAGCAGCAAGCGGCTGAACCGCCTCGCAAGGAGGGTGACAGCTGTGCTGCTGGTCTCCCAAATGCAGCCCCTGGTCCTCTGGACCCTCTCTGGATGGAACAGCGCAGATGCCCCGTCACGCCGCTTCGATCAAGATCAATAAGAAGCATCTGAGGTTCCAGGGGCTGCATCCCAAATCCTTGCGGGCTTACCAGCGAGCACTAAATGTCTTTTTCAGCTACCTCCGGCAGGAGAGTCTGTGGCCAAAGTCGAGCAAAGAACTGGATGCCTATTTGGCAGAATTCGCGAATTGCCTTTTTCAAGAAGGCGAATCCCCGGGGCAGGCAGGGTGCGCCCTATCCGCCTTGAAGCGGTTCCTGCCTCGCCTCCGGGGAAAGCTCCCAACCGCCCAGCAGTTTTACAACAACTGGTGCCGGGTT